TTTAAGCATCGGCTTTCAATTCAGGTAGATCATTAACAACTGTCTTCTTGCAAATTTCTTTCTGGCAGCAATTTTTTTTAGTTACTCAGTGCATACTACTAAATACCACTCTATGAGTAGCACCCGCCATGATAGTTAAATAATTTTCCATTGGTTAGTGTTACTATTAATTCGTAAAATTATTTATTGTCAAATAATCGTGTTTTTATTTCTTTTGTTTTAAGTTACCCTCCACTTCAACAATTGATGAAGTTCTTGCTTTACGGCCTAATCTACCAAACCATGTTAAAATGATCAATAATCATAATCATAATAAAAATAACAGCAATAAACATTGGACACATTCAACATTCAATAATAAATGTTTATTAAATGAATTCAGTAAAAAATTATCACAATGGTATGCATTGTTAGATTATTGTTTACGTGCAGATTATTTCACTAATCAATATCAATTACATAATGATAAAATTGATCAAACTCATGATAATAATATTGATAATCTTACTAAACACAACACTGCCAACACATTATTGAATATTGATGTTGATTTAAAGAAAAGTAATCAATTAGCTTATATTAAACAATTTCCAATTATTCAAAACAGTGGTTCCCTTTGATAAATTTGAATAGAGAAATAAGAAGACATATTTTGTGAGATAGTACCATTTCGTGCTTTCTCGTCAGTCACATACAAGCAACATGTTATTTGTGTAAATAAAGTTTTGAAGATAAGGTCAAAATTTCTTATTTAGCATGACATTCACTCACTAGAACCATGGTAAACAAAGGTCAACATACAGTTGTTTTTGAACACATAAAGTTGGACCAATCAAGATAGCTTCAAGTAGTTTTAGTGTGTGTGGGTTTTGGCTACATGTCAAAACTCTAAAGGCTGATTTTGGATCAATTTGATGACCACTCATCATTAGATGTTTTGCAATGGACGAGGCTGGGTTTCTTGATCGATTTTGAACTGATGGGCTAGGTTGATTAATCATGGATTTGATTAACCATTTTGGAATATGTTCCCCTATCCTGTCTTCCGATCGGCGATCTGTCCTCCCTAAGTAACTTTCTCCGCAGTTACATGTGAATTGGTAAATACAGTGGGATTTGGACTGAATCGGTCTTGGAGACTTGATTGGGGTAACTGAGATCGATTGGGTTGTTGTGATAAGCCTCAGATTAGCTGCATTGGAGGTCTTTTTTATTGCAGCTGCAGTCTGTTTGGTTGTAATTTTCATGCAGTGATCACCTTTGAAAGGTAATTGTAGGTACACTGGTTTCTTGGGCACATCAGTTGCTATCAGCTTCGTCATAGTTGTTTTCTGATGACAAATAAACGTTTCGGGATATCCGTTTGATTTAAGTGTGTCAGTAATAAGCTTGAATTCGTCGTTCAATGTATCAGCAGTGCAGATTCTACTTGCTCGAGCGAATAAAGTTTTGACAACAGAACGTTTATATTGTATGGGGCAGAAACTAGTGAAGTGGAGGTACTGTCCCGACCAGGTGGGTTTGCGGTGTACTTTTCGCCTGATTGATCCGTCTGGACGGCGATGGAGCAGGATATCGAGGAAGGCTAGTTCATTATTCTTTTCTTCCTCATAAGTGACTTTCAGATTCGGGTGAATCGCATTAAATAAATCATTGATTTCATTAATGTCTGTAGAATGTGGTAATATGACAAGAATATCGTCGACGTATCGTTTGTAAAGTGTAATACCATCGATGAAGTGACTCACTTGCCTTTCTATCATTCCCATGAATATGTTTGCTAAAACAGGTCCGAGAGGGCTTCCCATTGCCACTCCATCGATTTGTGTATATGCTTTACCTTGGAAATAGAATTTTTTATTCTTTGTGCACAGCAAAATTAGATCTCGAAGATAGGTAGTAGGAATGGGTATTCTTATGTTGTGTGAAGTTATGAAGTCACAAATAAATTCCACAGTTTCTTCGAGAGGTACATTTGTGAATAAAGAGTTTACATCGAAAGAACACATTCGGCTATTAGAAATATTTAAGTGTTCCAAAGTTGGGAGAAGTTCAAATGAATCGAGGATAGTATGTGTCGATAGTTGTTTACAAACAGGATCCAAAATTTCTTTCAGCCACTTTGCTAGCTTATGGTATGGTGAATTTATCATGGAAAGAATTGGTCTCATAGGTGTTGTAGGCTTGTGTAGTTTCGGTAAGCCATACATTTGTGGTGTGCATGTACCAATGGGCTTGAGCATTTTATAATGAGCCTCGGTGATAAAACCATGAAGCATGAGTAGATGTAGTTCTCGGCATATCTGTTTTTCGACCAACTTCACGTTATCGACCTGTGAATCTGATTTAAATTTAGCTGAGTCTGAGAGGATCACGTTCATTTTCGTTATGTAGTCATCCTTATTCATGACTACTACACCGGAACCTTTGTCTGGTCTGGAGATTGTTATTGTGGGATTGTTCTTAAGTTCCTTCAGTGCTTCCTCGTGCTCATTCGTTAGACAAGAATTTTGGTTGATAGGAGTGTTTGCAAATTGCTGAGATATATCAACTAATTTGACTTTGAGCCATGCCTCATTCTCAGCTGATGTTGGAGTCAAATTTGAGAACTGGCTGTAGAGGTTTTCGAAATTGGCGTCCACCAAATTCTTATCGATTCTTTTAGGTGGTACATTGTAATTTAGTCCCATTGAAAGAGCTTCTAGGTGAACCTTGTCAAGATTGAAGTTAGATAGGTTGTGAACACGTTCTGTGAGATTTTCTGGAAATTCTGAAATCGCTCGTCTCTTTGATAGCGACTGGTTAACTTTCGTCCATGTTCGGTTCGCCGTTCTGTCTAATATATCTTCAAAACTTTATTTACACAAATAACATGTTGCTTGTATGTGACTGACGAGAAAGCACGAAATGGTACTATCTCACAAAATATGTCTTCTTATTTCTCTATTCAAATTTCCAATTATATTAGATTCATTTGGACGATGGCATAGACCATGTGATGTAAGTTTTTCTTTTTTTTCAGTTTAGTTTAGGTTTAGATTTCATTGTTTGTTAGGCTGTTTTGTTGTGACTCTAGCAATGGTAAAATCTACAACAAGCAAAAATGCTAGCATATTCGAGATGCCTCGAAATGCAAAATGTTGCTTCAAGATTGGCTTGCGTCTGCACCTGAACTAGTGATTGGGAGTGAAGTAGTTGGGTGTGTCGATCGCTTCACTTATCTGGGGATTCTCATCAGTACTGATTGCTTTGTGACTGACGAAATCGCAGCACGGATACAGGAGGCTCGATTGGCTTTTGCTAACTTGCGTCACTGATAGCGAAGGCGAGATATCCGTTTGCTAGTCAAAGGTAGAATCTACTGCGAGGTAGTTCACTCCGTCCTACTTTATAGCTGTGGAACATGGCTAGTAAGAGTAGAGGACATTCGTATGTTATTAGTATTGGATCATAGATGGCTTAGAAGCATTGCTCGTGTGTCTTGGGACAACCGAGTAAGCAAAGATATAGTTAGAAAACGAGTACTAGGTAGGGATGGCAGATCAATAGCTGAAGTATTGAAACTTCATCAGTTGAGGTGGTTGGGACATGGTTTACGAATGCTCATCCACCGACTGTCTCGTCGAGGTATGCTTTGCGATGTATTAATAGGTTGGACGAAATCTAGGCGCGGCCAAACCAAAACATGATATGAGTTCATGAATTCGCTTGCAAGTGGACTGACACATGTTGGTAGATATAGATTACCTGGTTGGGGTCCGCTAGATGAAAGTTTTCGACGGTTAGAGACTTTGAAAGACGTGGCTCAAAATATTTTACAATGACACAGGTGCATTCACTCGTTGTGTTCCATGAAATTCTCATCTTCTGAATTCTTCAACAGCTCTACGATTATTTTTCTAAACTTATCTTACTGAATCATACTTCTCAAATCATATCTTCGAACTCATATCTTCTCCACTACTGCTAATAGTTCTATTATCGCTACCTCTATTGTACTAGAACTAACTTTTGCGTCTCTGTGTTAATGTGGTATGGCGACCTCAAATTATGTACTTTCTTACAACGTTGTACGTTGTGACTGGCTGACAACACGCGTTTCATGTTATTTAGGACTTGTCTTTGACTGGATCTACTTACATCTCACAGTTGATAGTCTCTCGCTGAAACCCAAACCCAGTACCGTTTATGTCGAACGTCATTATGTTATCCACTTTGTGACTGGATTTAGTTAGTCAATGCCTTGCACAATATAGTGAAGTTTAAGTCATTTGTTTTGGTTGATTGAATCTTTCCATTAATGTGCAGCAGTGCAACTATTCAGTTTGATACTTGATGTCCTAACTGATGAAATTAATACGATTTATGCTAGACGAAGCCATTTATGATACCGGCATAACGTTATTTTGACTATAGAAGTTCGGAATTACAATGTAATAATAACAGCAAGTATGGTCTCTACTCTGGGAACCTGGCCTCTCCAAGTTGAGGATGTTCAGCAACCTTATCTCTCATCATTGTTGTCCACGAAGGATTACTGACATTCAGTAGCGCTACACCATGTTAGTAATGTTTATGTTCGTCAGTGTGCGTTTAGTTGGTGTCATCATCCATATTTTACGAATTTCCTCCTAACAGCCTCTATATCGTTCATTTTATGCCGACTCTGAGACAAAGAGGGAAATGCGCATGAAAGAAACTGCTGTTAAGGATTGACATCCGTCAATTCATCACAATTGTCTAGCTGCAGTCTAAGAGAGTGCAACCTGGTGTCTTCAGGCGTTACTGGAGGTTCTATTACAGTTTTCGTTAATATGCTTCGTAAAGGTAGAAGAGACTCACTCCAGTGGGAATTATTCTTATTAATTAACATTTCGAAACCAAAAGCCCCTGGTCGGGTACCCAAATCGAAGTAGGTTTCTCACTCAGCCTTTAACCTGGAGGTCTAATTCAGAGGCTAATGAAGCAACGTTTGAAGTTGCATTCCTAAGATAGTCGATGACTAACAATTGTTTCATTTGTTCCTTCAGAATCTTGCAGTCTTTATGCATCATTTATTATAGAATCAGATTTCATCAGCACCCCTAAGATAGATCCTCCATATCCATCGATTCCGTCTTATTGTCAAATATTTGATCTTCATCCTCTGAATAATACTCGCTTTGCGAGGAGCTAATGAATAGAACTTCGCTTGTCAGTCAGTCAGTCAGTTACAATGTAGAACTTCGTGCGTACGTACATAATTTCTGGTTGCCATACCTCATCAGCAGCGAGATTCAATTGTCAGTTCAAATCTCATGGTGGCAGAGACAGTAGAAGTATTAGCGGTAATACAGAAGATTAGGGCTTGAAGAAATTATTCAATCAGTATAATTCAGTTGCAATAAAATTAGAGAGAGATAGAGCTGATGAAAAATTTGGAAGATTAGAATTTTGGAGGAAACAAAGACTGGAGATCTTTCCTTCTAGTGATTATCTATATACACATGGCCTAATGAGATACATTTCTGCTCCATCAGCCGTAACCCCCTAGAACATTCCAACATTACATTATTCATATATGTATCACTAATCCAAATTTAATGAATTGTTCTTTATATAAAACATTTTCTAATTTAGATTGTTTCACTAACCACTCCATCGACAAATGACAATGCTGATGATGACGACGACAACAATGATGCCCATTTGAATCATCAAACTAATAATAAACTATGTTTATTTGCTTGGTCTAAACCAATGTATGCTCGTTTAATTCATGAATTCAATTATCAACAATGGAATAACAAGAATAATAATAATAATCATGATGATGATGATTTTACATTCTCACCAATGTATCATGTTATGGCATACAGTTTAACTTATTTGAATGCACGTTATTCTAGTGGGGCGACCAATCATAGAATATCTTCATATTCAACTATGCCATCTTTTCTATTGGATGATCCATTTACAACAACATGCTCATCCTCATCCTCTTCTTCATTGTCATCCGTTGTACATTATCATTGTCATGAAGGTACTGCACATGGACTATTGCTTGATTTATTCAATATACCGGTTAGTTGACGCAGTTTTGTTGTTTGGTTTTTTTAAAATCCCTTATGATTATTTTTGAGAAAAAATAACAGAAGATTCATTAATTTTTAATCGGTATTAATGAGTTTTGACAAGGATGGCTTGTTATGCATACACACGTAAAACACATCAGCTTGATATGCTGGAACTGTTACAAGTTTACCTTAGTTGGAAGACGAGAGCGAGAAGGATCGAGGATCCGGTGGCATGACATGCTACTCAAATCCGATTATCCCAACCCCCATATTGTGTAAAAATAAGAAGACGTGATATGAAGTAGAACATGTATTCTACAAGCACTCGGAAAGTACAGGGTCCGAGTCCAGAAGAGAATCAGCATCCCAGACTAGGGATTATGGGTCCTAAAACGTTACAGATAATGCGTAGTTATACATTTTGGTCGAATAGGAAACCGCATCGAAGTTTGTGACCTTGATAGTTAGGATGACCAATAGGAAACAACATTTGAAATGACATTGATAGTCAGGACGACCATAAAATTGACCAATAGGAATAAACTAATCGGATATTGGATGAATATCCCAACACAAACTCTCCTCCTCTTTTATCCTCCAAGCTCAGGAATCTAGAAAGGTTCCGGATGAAGTTTATTTTTAACGCTCATCAGTTGATATGCTTGAAACTATTACGAGTTCATTTTAGAGCGAAGATAAATAATCCAGTCACACGATGAGCTACTCTAATCCGAGCCTCTTAAGACCCCATTAGGTAAAGGAAGAAGTCTTGATATAGCGTAGAAACTGTATTCTACAAGTTCTCAGAAAATATGAGGCTGATAAACACACAAATCGAGTTTATTTATACAAGATTGAAACGTATTTGGAAGCGCCACAAAAATGGCGTACTAAAATAATCCCCCACACAATGACAGTCAAGGATTTGCCGGGTGGGAAACGTAATCTCAAGGTCAATTGATCAACCCATCATGAAATCTAAAATTGGAATGTTTATCGAGTGATTTCTGAGGATGTAACGTCCCCAAATGTATTGTATTTGATCGAATTTTAAATTAGGATTGGCGCGTTTTTTTGTTGTTTGAAATAACAACTCTTTCTTTTCGATTTCTATTTGTACACATAGGTTATTGATCATGTCAGTGAATTATTTATCAAACATCATCAACATCAACTCCATCCTCATCCACATGACACAAATTCATTTATGATACCATGTCGTGCATTAGATGTATTTTTCAAAAGTTTCATACGTTTAATACATTTATGGTTGTGTTGTTCAACCAATCAATCAACTCTGTCAAAATCAGTTCATTCTGCCGAAAATTCAATCGATGATCATCTAATCAATCAAATATTGGCATCAAAAGAGGTGGATGCTTTTTTGGTAAGTGATGTTTTTTTGTGATTTGGAAGCTTTTCTAAAGATTTTTGAAACCATGAACCGATCAGTGTTAGACCACCATTAGAAACCTGGAAGCACTGGACAATGGCCGTTTCGTCCTGGTATGGGACTCCTCAGCAGTGCGCATCCATGACTCCTGCACCCTGCAGGATTCGAACTCAGGACTTTCGGTATTGTGCGCGAAAGACCTAACTGATAGACCAATGAGCCGGTATCTAGCGGTGTCAATGTCTAACTTGATCAAATTCACGGAGATGCGCAACCTAATACACAGTCTTCGGTAGTTACTGTCTACACCCGAACAGGTTGAACTTCACTGGTCCCGTCTTCCCACTAGAACTCGGAGAAGATTGCTCACGAAGCTAGTCACTAGTGAGCACAGGTAATTTGCATTACGGGGTTGTGAAGATTGTTAAGTTACACATTTTTGAAACCATGAACCGATCAATGTATATATATATATATATATATATATATATATATATATATTCGTCACTAGGTACGCTTGAAGCTATTACGAGTTCACCTTAGTCGATAAACACGAATGAGACAATGAACCAGCGTCCAGATTGGCTACCTTGAATCCCAAGCTGTACAATGGACATCTTGGTAAGTGTAGAAAGTATATTCTACAAACACCTAGCAATCACACAATACAATCAAGCACACAACTCTCCTTTATTTTTATACATCATGTGAACGTCCTTGGGACAGTTACGGAAATAGCACATACTAAAATACACAGTAGCCAATCACAGCCATGGATCTTGCTGGTTGGAAATGAAATCTCAAGGTCAACTGATCAACCCATGCTCTCAAACGTGAAATCCAAAATAAGGCGCATTTATCAAGCGAGTTCTGGGGATCTAACATCCCCAACATGCATACATATATATATATCCCTACATGAATTACCATATTCGTGTATGGGCTAGCTAAGATACTACTGTTCAGTTGCTCAAACTAAGACAGGTGGTCTGCCTGAAGGGAGCCTAGTTCACAAAAATTTTGGAGTAACTTCAGAAGTTGCAGGTCCATGGTAGTAGTCGGTGACTAACCATAGGCTAATACGTTTCTCTTTTATCCGTTGTTGGTTTTAAAATCATTGTGTTCCATCTCATTTTAGTGGATCCTCCGTGCTTACACCGACCGAGTTGCGCATTCAGTTTTCATTCTCTCAATCGTTCAATTAACAACACCCTCAACATAGTCAGCCTACAACAACAACAACATGCGAACTTCGTATGTGGTACGTACATCAATTCAAGTTTTCATACCGCACATTAGCTCAGAGATGCAATCAATGGTCACTTCATATCGCATGGTGGTATAGGTAGTAGTAGAAGTATTTGCAGTAATCGAAAAACTTTAGGCTTCGACTATAATATTACTCAAGATGTAGTAGAATCTACTGAAATAAACTTAAAATGATAAAATGATAAACGGAATGAGGAATTATGAAGTTTAGGATTTGTGCAACTGAGAGTGAGGAGAATATACCCCTGCCTACCACCCTCGAAATGATCTCATATGGTTACGCATACCTCTGTATATAGTTATTCTTAAGTAAGTTCTATTCAATCATCACTTGGAGCAAGGAGCAGTCAAACCAAAACATGCCACCAATCCATGAAGTCACTAACGAATGGACTGAGTCATGTCGGTTGGTGTCGACTAACTGGTTGGGCCCGCGAGACCATGTTAATCAATGGTCATAGACCTTGAAAGACATGGCTCGAAATCGTTTGCGATGGCGAAGGTGGATTCATTGTGTTTGTCGGGCTCACCGAATAACTGTGGTGGACCGAACAGTATATTATTTGAAAATATTAACAAACTTATTGAATACAAATAGATAGATGTGTATCGAAATATATCAGTAAAATCTAATAAATACAATAAAATGTGTAAGGACTTTACATTTTATACAGCTGCTTGTGTGTGTTTGGTTGTGTTTGATACTATAAATCCAGAATTATAGAAATGTTAGTAATCCAAATGGTGTAATTATCCGTAGAGTAGCATATAAGTATGACTGCAGTCGATAAATGTAGATAATATACGTATTAGAATCCAGATAACACATTATTACGCAGAGAACCAAGAGAGGAGCTGATATAGCTTCAGATCACCACTTGCTGATCGCCAAAATGAGATTGAAGCTAAAGAAGCACTGGACAGCGGGGCAGACAACATCACAGAAGTTTAATACGGCCTTTCTTCGGGATACTGTAAAGCTCAACGAATTCAGGATAGCCCTCACCAATAGGTTCCAGGCCTTTCAGGATCTACTCAATGTAGAGGAAGCAACATTGGAGAACAATTGGAAAGGGATTAAGGAGGCAATCACTTCAACATGTCAGGAGGTCCTTGGTCGCAAGAAGCAGCATCACAAGGAATGGATCTCTGTTGGTACTCTTGAAAAAATTGAAGAAAGGAGGAACAAGAAGGCAGCAGTGAATGTCAGCCGAACAAGAGCAGTGAAAGTTAAAGCACAAGCTGAATACACGGAAGCAAACAGGGAAGTGAAGAAGAGCATCAGAGCTGACAAACGAAAATATGTGGAAGATCCAGCAATGACGGCGGAAAAGGCTGCAAGGGAAGGAAACTTGAGACGATTGTACGAAACTACAAAGAAGCTCGCCGGAAACTATCGTAAACCAGAACGACCAGTGAAAAGCAAGGAAGGGAAAATAATCAGCAACACTGACGAACAGCGAAATAGGTGGGTGGAGCACTTTAAGGAACTATTGAATTGACCAGCTCCACTGAACCCACCCAACATCGAAGCAGCATCCACGGACCTTCCAAATAATATTGGCGCTCCTACGATTGAGGAGATCAGTATAGCCATCAGACAAATCAAGAGCGGCAAAGCAGCAGGACCAGACAACAATCCAGCAGAGGCAATGAAAGCAGATGTGGAAGCAACTTCAAGAAAATTTGGGATGAGGAACAAGTACCATCAGATTGGAAAGAAGGATACCTCATCAAAATACCAAAGAAAGGCGATCTGAGCAAGTGTGAAAACTACAGAGGCATCACTCTTCTTTCAATACCAGGCAAAGTCTTCAACAGAGTATTGTTAAACAGAATGAAGGACTTCGTAGACGCCCAACTTCGAGATCAACAGGCTGGATTTCGTAAGGATCGATCGTGTACTGACCAAATTGCTACATTACGGATCATTGTGGAACAATCAATTGAATGGAACTCACCACTCTACATCAACTTCATCGACTACGAGAAAGCATTCGATAGCGTGGATAGGAAAACACTGTGGAGGCTTCTTCGACACTACGGTGTGCCTGAGAAAATAGTCAACATCATACGGAATTCTTATGATGGATTCAACTGCAAAATCGTACACGGAGGTCAGCTGACAGACTCTTTTGAGGTGAAGACCGGTGTTAGGCAAGGTTGCTTACTCTCACCCTTTCTCTTTCTCCTGGTGATCGACTGGATTATGAAAACGTCAACATCTGGAGGGAAGCACGGTATCAACTGGACAGTTAGGACGCAGCTGGACGATCTGGACTTCGCAGATGACCTGGCTCTTCTATCGCACACTCAACAACAAATGCAAGAGAAGACGACCAGTGTAGCAGCAGCCTCTGCAGCAGTAGGTCTCAATATACATAAACGAAAAAGCAAAATTCTCCGATGCAACACAACATGCACCAACCGAATCACGCTTGATGGAGATACCTTGGAGGACGTTAACACCTTCACATATCTTGGCAGCATCATCGACGAGAAAGGTGGATCGGACGCGGATGTAAGGGCGCGGATCGGCAAAACAAGGGCTGCATTTCTACAACTGAAAAATATCTGGAACTCCAAACAACTTTCAACCAAAAACAAAATCAGGATTTTCAATACAAATGTCAAGACAAATCTACTGTATGGAGTGCAAACATGGAGAACTACCAAAGCCATCATCCAGAAGATACAAGTGTTTATTAACAGTTGTCTACGCAAAATACTTAGGATTCGTTGGCCAGACACCATCAGCAACAACGAACTGTGGGAGAGAACAAACCAGATTCCAATGGAGGAGGAAATCAGGAAGAAGCGGTGGAAATGGATGGGACATAAACTACGAAAAGCACCTAACTGCGTCACTAGACAAGCCCTCACATGGAACCCTGAAGGCAAAAGGATAAGAGGAAGGCCAAGGAACACACTACGCCGAGAAATAGAGAAAGATATGAGAGGAATGAACAAACATTGGACAGAACTGGAGAGGGAAGCCCAGGACAGAGTTGGTTGGAGAAAACTGGTGGGCGGCCTATGCTCCATTGGGGGTAACAGGCGAAAGTAAGTAAGTAAGTAAGTACATTATTACGCAAGGGAGAACATGAGATGTGTGTATAAATAAAGTGTTTTTGATAGGAACCGGTAGTGAGTGCTGTGCTATGGTGTACACAGAACGGAAATGTGTATGTAGCAGCGTGTGCGCCTGATGTTTTTCAAGGACAAAATGTACAACACTTTCATAGTGAATTTGACAGTCTGTAAACAGTAACAGAATAAATACAAATAGTTCCAAAAAAACTATTTACAAAATAAGTTTGTCATGCCATCTCCACATAGCTCTGCTCCCCTCCCCCCAGGAGTGTCCAGAAGTAACACTGGTTATATTACACAAAAAATTATAATATGTGGGAGTACAGTGTATGTGCATTTATGCAGAATAATAATTAGAAAAGGTAATACAAGAAAGTGGAGAATAATATGACATGTACATTTATATTATACAACCCGTTTATGTAAAAAAAACCCGTGTGACGGTTGCATGACATGCCAAGAAAACAAAAAGAAAATATAGTCACAAAATGTTTTGGCTGGTTGATGAAAATAACAACGTGCAAAGCTATTAATAAACACACAGACACAAAAATTGGATTGTTTATTTTCATGCAAAAAGCATTTTTTGTAAAAGAAAGATAGAATTAACTCGTTAGTTAAAGTGTCAAAGGAAAAAATAATATGACAACACGAGTCATTGCGAAAAGAAAATGTGGTTTCATTATATGCACGTGTTAAAAGACTAAAACGGTATAGCAGTTTTGATTTAGGAGATTCAGTGGTTTTTTTTGTAACAAGGTAACGTACACTAACATAGTAGTAGTTTGTTGAATTCCTTCTGTTTTTCTTTATTTAATCAGCGAAATGTACATAACGTTTAGGTTTGTTTATTCACAGCTCTGTCGGAACACGTGTTAAGCAAGGAGCCGTAACGGTCGGTTTTTGCTCTTCTACTGCTTTCTTGGTTGGTGCTTTGCAGGATGTTTTGTTTATCAGTAAGTGTTGTCTTCTTTGTCAGGTTCAAAAAATCTCGTAGAACGCTGGTTTAATTTTATCTATAGCGAGCGATAGTCTCCTTCTTTTCACATTTGTTGATTATGAAATGTTTATTGGTTCGTTTAATTACCTGGTATGTGGTCCATCGTAAGGTTGTTTCAATGGCTTTCTAACCACATCGACGCGAACGAAGACACATATTTGCATGTCGTCAGGTTTTTGTCCAGTTGTATGCGGTTATTATGCTCCCGCAGTGGTATGGCTTTTATGCTCTGCATAGTTTGCAGTAGTCGACTAGCAAATCGGCCTGGGTCAGTTGGTGCCGATGTGTCTGTGTCTACCAATTTGCCTCGCAATGTAAGAGTTGTGCCGTAGACCAGCTCAGCAGAAGTACAACCGATGTCCTTCTCCTTGATGGTTGAGCGAATTCCCATGAGTACGAGCGGTAATGCATCGCTCCATTTCGTTGAATAATATTTGTTAAATGGAAATGATTATTATATTTAGTGTGGTATCAGTGAAAAGTGATTGAATGATTGATTCAATAATATTGAAAAATTTCTTTTTTTCTTCTCATTACAGGTATTTAATATATGAAGAAGTACCATATATATATTTTGTAAAGTCTACATAGAATCCAATGGATATAGTACTGTTGGTTTTGAGAGAAGTATAGATATTTTGAGTGTCCGTATGAATTGAAAATGCAGAAGGAATGGACAATTTCGACGACAAGTATTTTGGACAGTTACACGAACGGAACGCTTACATCCGAATTAATTCTAGGCCAAACAAAGCGTTCCGTTATCATTTTAGTGGTGGCTCAGATTCCCGGATGTGAAAGTTCGTGTAACTGTCGAAATACTTGTCGTCGACATTGTCCATTCCCTCTGCATTTTCAATTCATTCGGACACTCAAAATATCTATACTACTCTCAAAACCAACAGTACTATATCCATTGGATTCTATGTAGACTTTACAAAATATATATATGGTACTTCTTCATATATTAAATACCTGTAATGAGAAGAAAAAGAAGAAATTTTTCAATATTATTGAATCACTCATTCAATCACCACTCACTGACACCACACTAAATATAATATTAATTTCCATTTAACAAATATTATTCAACGAAATGGAGCGATGCATTACCGCTCGTACTTCTGGGAATTCGCTCAACCATCAAGGAGGAGGACATCGGTTGTACTTCTGCTGAGCTGGTGGTCTACGGCACAACTCTTACATTGCCAGGCCAATTGGTAGACACAGACACATCGACACCAAGTGATCCAGGCCGATTGGCTAGTCGGACTACTGCAAACTATGCAGAGCATAAAAGCCATACCACCGCAGGAGCATAATAACCGCATACAACTGGACAAAAACCTGACGACATGCAAATATGTGTCTTCGTTCGCGTCGATGCGATTAGAAAGCCATTGAAACAACCTTACGATGGACCACATACCAGGTAATGAAACGAACCAATAAACATTTCATAATCAACAAATGTGAAAAGAAGGAGACTATCGCTCGCTATAGATAGAATTAAACCAGCCTTCTACGAGATTTTTTGAACCTGACAAAGAAGACAACACTTACTGATGAATAAAACCTCCTGCAAAGCACCAACCAAGAAAGCAGTAGAAGAGCAAAAACCGACCGTTACGGCTCCTTGCTTAACACGCGTTCCGACAGAGCCGTGAATAAACAAACCTAAACGTTATGTACATTTCGCTGATTAAATAAAGAAAAACAGAAGGAATTCAACAAACTACTACTGTGTTAGTGTACGTTACCTTGTTACAAAAAAACCACTCAATCTGCTGAATCAAAACTGCTATACCGTTTTAGTCTTTTAACACGTGCATATAATAAACCACATTTTTCGCAGTCACTCATGTTGTCACATGATTCTCCTCACTCTCTCTTGCACAAGGTCATCTAGAAAAAAAAGAAAAAGACTAAACATTCAAACGATAAAACGAAAAATGTAAGTTTAAAACAAAACAAGTTCAAGTATACGTTTTGAACATTGAATGTATCGAGGCTATTGTCAATGAATACTGAACCTCTGTTAACCTTGTGGTGCGCGCTACTTATAAGTAGTATATGACGCGAGTGTAAACGTAATGTCTAGCAGCAGAAGCTGAGGGAAGATCGAGAAAGGAAGAGTGGGAACACAATGGAATTTGTATGAAACGCATGAATAGTGAAATGTCAGATGATGGATTGAATATTTGCAAATTAACGGTTACGATATGGTTTTCCTATTTTACTGAGTAACTCTGTAATAATTTACATTTTTCAAAATATTTATGTAGAATTTTTTTTGCTGAAGTTTTACGAAGTGAACAAACAATACTGGGTTCGAGTCCCAAAGTGAATATCAACTTTGTGGTGCAATTGAATCCAGTTAGAGACGAGTCCGAAATTGGGCGAACTGCGCATCGTGGATTCGATTGCTAACCGCTCTACGCCACTGCTAATAATCCTTGTAACTTAAAGATAATGTTGAGGCGATCGTCACGAGATGCAGTCAGTCAGTCAGTCAGTCAGCTTCAACGTAAAAGTTCGTGCGTTTGTACATCGATTCAACTTACCATACCACATTAGAACAGAGAGATGCAATTGTCAATCCTAATCCCATAGTGACAGAAGTAGTAGAAGTATTAGCGGTAATCAAAAAGATTAGGGATAGAAGCTATCATTCTAGAAGTATAATCCAGTAAAATAAACTTGAAATGACAGAAAGATATAGGTAATAAAAAATTCAGATAATTAGAATTTGAGAGAAGACCAAAGAATGGATATTTTTGCGCTACTGCAAACAGTTTTCACCCATGTTGTTCAAAGTCACTAACCATCGGTTACTGTAGTCTCATGGACCTAAAACAAGGCAGTCTACACGTACAGACATGACTCAATGCGCTTGTCAGTGACTTTGTGGATTTGTTCTGTAGCTTTCTTTCAGCCTACTGCTACATCATAAAACATCGTTCGTGCAGCTGGTCGATGGTTGGGCATTCGTGATATATCCACATACCAGGAGGCTCGCTTATTGACTTAGAATATGCCGATGACATAGTCCTACTTGGTGAAGACGCTGACAAAATGCAGAGTCTTCTGACCACCCTAAGCAACAATGCAAGAATGTTCAAGATGCGGTAATGAAGAAAATTAGGGTTTGAAGATACTATTGAAGAAGTACAACTCAGTGACATAACTTTATAAAGAGAAAGATAGAGATGATGACGGATTCAGATTATTACAATTCCATAGAACTCAACGAGTAGATGCACATGCACCATTGCAAACAATTTTGAGCCATGTCATTCAAGGTCTCTTACCATCGTTTACTATCATCTCGTGGACCCTGACAGAGTAGCCTACAGCTACAAACATGACTCAGTGCGCTTGTCAGTGACATAAAGTCACTTGTTCCGTATCTTTCTTCCGACCTACTCCTTCATCACAAATCATCGCTCGTGCAACTGGCCGATGATTGGGCATTCGTGATACATGCATATACTTACTTACTTACGCCTGTTACCTCCAATCGAGCATAAACCGCCCACCAGTTTTCTCCAACCAACTCTGTCCTGGGCTTCCCTCTCCAATTCTGTCCAATGTTTGTTCATTCCTCTCATATCTTTCTCTATTTTTCGGCTTAAGGTATTCTTTGACCTTCTTCTTTTCCTTTTGCCTTCAGGGTTCCATGTGAGGGATTGTCTTGTGACGCAGTTAGGTGCTTTTCGTAGTGTGTGTCCTATCCACTTCCACCGCTTCTTCCTGATTTCCTCCTCCATTGGAATCTGGTTTGTTCTCTCCCACAGTTCGTTGTTACTGATGGTGTCTGGCCAACGAATCCGAAGTATTTTGCGTAGACAACTGTTCATAAAAACTTGTATCTTCTGGATGATGGCTTTGGTAGTTCTCCATGTTTGCACTCCATACAGTAGATTTGTCTTGACATTTGTATTGAAAATCCTGATTTTGTTTTTGGTTGAAAGTTGTTTGGAGTTCCAGATATTTTTCAGTTGTAGAAATGCAGCCCTTGTTTTGCCGATCCGCGCCGTCACATCTGCATCGGATCCACCTCGATTGTCGATGATGCTGCCTAGATATGTAAAGGTGTTAACGTCCTCCAAAGCATCTCCATCCATAATGATTTGGTTGGTGCATGTTGTGTTGCATCGGAGAATTTCGCTTTTTCCTTTATGTATGTTGAGACCTACTGCTGCTACACTGGTTGTCTTCTCTTGCATTTGTTGTTGCGTGTGCGATAGAAGAGTCAAGTCATCTGCGAAGTCTAGATCGTCCAGCTGCGTTCTAACTGTGCAGTTGATCGATAATTGTAGTCTTAACTTTCACTAGGAAAATCGAAACTCGTTCAATGCACCAAACAGTGTTGTGTTCAATGACATTTTATTCATTTCTTTCTATTGTTTTTTTAAAACTTTTCAGGTTGATCATTTAAAACTTTCTTTATCATTTAATAAAAATTCAATATTCAATGCCAAAATCTCATCCACCACTGCTAATTATTCTATTGGTGGTACAAATGATTTATCGAAACATTTGATTGGTTGTTTAATGCATGGAAAATTATACTTAGATAGTACATTAGGTGTCACTGTATTTGCTAATCTATCACAAATTGCATCCAATCAAAATGCTGCTACACCATTACATCACCTTCTGATGGGTTGCATCAATGATCCATTATTGCGGTTGACATCATCACCTTATTCGGATGCTTTGCAATATTCCATGGAGAAATCGTTATTAGCACAAATTATTGATTTTATTTGTCCATATGGACAACAACCAATAAAAGTGAATTTAATGTAAGTTGAATTTCTTTGTTTTTATAAAAGTTGATTGTTATGTGAAAGACCGTAGGTCTTGGGTTCGAATCGTCCGAGCTGTAGGAGTCGTGGATACGCACTGTCACTGATGATTCTCACGCGAGGACGAAACGGCTGACTTTCAATGCTTCCATGTATCTAATGTTTGTCTAACAATGGTTGTTTGATGATTTTGATGTGCAACAAACACTAATCTCCATAATTCTCCAACATCT